GTAAAGGGATTATAAGTACAAGTCCCATGTAATTTACCTAACATTGCAACTATGCAATAGGATATTGATTGCTCCAGTGTGTGCTGCACAAAGGAGTAAACACCTAATGGGTAGATAAAGATGGCGTAGGTCTTTCTAAATACACAGTTTACACAAAGTACAGGTATACTGTGTAAAATGCTATTTGTGAGTATTTCTGATAGAAAAACTGTAGCATTACGGTCCATTTCATGCGGGTAGGTTGATTCTTAGTAAGAGACATGCTGTTTATTTAGCTTTCTATTACAAACCAAATACTTTACATTTCAATTAAAAGGAACTAACAGATAGCAGACGTAGTGAAAACCATTATGAATTATATAGTGTAATATTATATAAAGTAAAGCGCATTGGTGACAATGACTCCAAGAAACATCATAGTGGTTGTTACATTTTATGATGGTACATTTTAGGATGCTACTTGCCTAGACCATTACAACAGCCTTTCTTTCTTTTCCCTGATTTAGATGAACACTTGCCACCTGGTTGGAAATTCAAGAAAAATCCGAAATGCCTTGAAAGTAAAGCAGATGGGTACCTTGTTGAAGCTAACCTCTGGGAGCTGCCAGACATGGTGAGGTTTAAAGAAAAAAGGAAAAGTCACTTTTGTTCACACAGAAACACAGATGTACGTGAAGATAAGGAACATGATGATACATCTGACAGTGAAAAAGAACAAGTGAAGGAAAAGAACTGCCCTCTACCAGCCTTCACTCATCAGCAGGATGAGGTCTTAACAGTGGTTACCTTTGGTGAATTAGATGCCTTGTCAACAGGAAAAGTTATCCTGCGGGGCAAGGCAGCCTCTGTAGAGTCCTTTAATTCAGCTAATGGAATAATTACTGCCGAAGTGACATGTGGTTCTTTTAATGTGAAAGTAGAAATTAAGAAACTCTCTTTATTTCATACTGGAACAAACCTAGTAATTGTAAAAAAGAAATATCCAAAGACTAGCAAGTGCTATCATGACAGACAATATCAGAAAAGCCACCATTCTAAAAGCCACAGGCACCAGAGTCCATCAGCTGACCATTCAGTAAATAACAACTGTAAACATACAGAATCGTCGAGACAGAAAATGCAAATTGCCAGCAACAAAAAACCCTTACTGAAAGTGAATATTGAAGGAAAGGACATTAAAGTGAAATACACCAATAGAAAGCAGAATCTAATGATTAACATTGAACCAGGTGAGCACATACAGGCATGTAGCCAACCCTGCAACAGGACATCTGGAAATACATATTGCAGTGACACAGACCATTCAGTAACAGAGGTACCTTGTAATACAGATTGTGAGTCGTATTTTAGCTTTCATGAAAAGGAAGATGCTTTTAAAAACTATCCATGCCCTGAATGGTACGTGCTACTTCCTCCACCTAAAGAGTTTGCTGACTGTGAAGACATGCACTTAGATACCATTACAGAGGTTGTATCTGTGTTCCCAGTCACTGACAGAAAGGAACCTGATGCTTTCTCTGCAGCCTTAACAGTTTGGAAGGACGGAAATCATGTCTGTAAACAGACAGCAACAGGGATCAAAGACCATGCCAATGAAATCTTTCCAAAAGACAAGATCATTTTGTCAGAATTAAATTATAACAGGGATTGTCCTCAAGATAACGATGCTTCAAGTGAAACAGATTTTGGTAAGGAACTTTTCAATAAGAACAGTGAGACAGGGCAAGTAATAGACAACAGTTGCATTGTCGGGCAAAATACTTTCTTATCATCATACCTGGAGCCCAAAGCAACTAGAAGAAAGTCCTTCCCGGATATCGCCATTGATGGGTTCTCACCAGGTCATCACAGGAGGGACTCAGGCTTTTATTCACTGCCATCTTCGTCCCGGAAAGTACTGCCCAAGCAAGCCAAAGCAATTGAAGTTTACAGCAAGAACACCCTCCCTCAAACCAGCTATACTGAACTTTCTAAGTGTTCTAGTTTTGCATCGTCATTCAACAGCCTGGGTGGTCTTAAGTCTTCTTACCAATATTCCTTCACCTCATATGATCATGATATGACCATTTACCCATCTGAGCCTGAGGGAAGCATAGATGATTCTTGTTTACTGAATCACTTTGAAGACTACATGGAGGATTGCGAAGAAATCCAAGACACATTCGTCAAAACTATTCATTCCATTGGAAGTCTAGGTGAGAAACAGGTACATCAGGACTTGGAGCCTCTGAGAAATTTAGCTGTGTGTGAAGAACACACTGAGTTTACTGAAAGTGGTTTAGATGAAGAGACACTAGAAAGCAATCATCATATTGATGCACAAGAGCATAGAGAATTAGAGAGCAAAGCCCCGATGATTCAAAACCCTTTGCCTTCTAGAAGCCCTTCAAGTGACCATATCAGTGACAAAAGCATTGCTAATAAAATAGCCACAGACTGTGTGCAAAACCAACTATCAACACTACAGCTGGGTCCAAATGTTCAGCTGACTACTCCAGAAGTGACAACAAGGAAAAGGAGAGCATCAGTGGTGACTGTAATAACCGGAGAGCTAGAACAAAGGCTCATCATTCAAAGTGACAATAAGGTGATACCTGAATCCTTTGGCTTCGAAACAAAAATGGAGCCTAAGCTGCCCTGCAGCATACAAGAAAATTCATTTATGTCACCACTGCTGCTGGATGTTCAGGCTTCAGCTATACCTAATGAAGTACATAGTTTTTCAGAGGTCCAAGATTCACCCAGGACTGCTCCTGATGAAACTAATTTCTATGATAATTGCACACAAGCTGCTACAATGTCCACATCTCCAGCATACCTCAAAGATAACCAGGTTTTCACTGAGGATGCATTTGTCAATGAAACAAAAGAAAACCTTTGCGATGAACAAGAGATAAAAAGCCAATTATCTGATAGTTTAAGACAGGAGCTTGTAGCATGTCAGATACAGCAGTTAGCTAAATCCAGCTCTGATGACACTGAGAACAAAAGTGAAACAAAGGTGGATTGCTGCCAGCATTCAGACACACCAATGTCACCCAAAACGGAGATTAGGAAGAAAGGTATGTGCTCCAGAATTGAGTTGTTATTACTCTGACACGCTTCCTTTTGGGGAGTGAGTTAGACCTTAGTGTTTTGGGAAATTATAGCTTGAGAAACAGAGGTGGATTATTAACATATAAAGGTGATACTGGCATGGTTAGCTCTTTTATTATGCTGTGCTCATCACTGCAGTCTCTCAAAGTTTTCTCAGTAGAATCAGTTAGATCTGCTACATGAATTTTGATGCAACCTAACAATAAGCTACTGATACGCTCCATCTAGTGAGTAAAGCAGATGCAGGAGCAGGATTAAATTAGTTGTCACAAGACATGTTGTCAGGGCCTTGTACTGTATTTAGAAACCATGTAAGCACGTTTAAGGAACCCAGACAGTCAAGTGAACTTAGAGAAGACAAAAAGCCAGGTACATCCTGATTCTAATCCAGGCTAAGCCTTCAGCACATTGTGAGATCATAATCAGATCACCTGAGCTCCTTTTCTCCTCTCTCAAAGTAGCCGAGAAAACTGAGTACTGAATGGGTGAGTTTTTAAATGAAATGCTACATCCTTTCTGAAGTCTTCATTTAGCTCCCTTGTTATGATGCACATAACATCACCCTACTTCTGAGTAATTTTATTTTTTTAATAATAGAATTTAAACAACTGAGTTCATCCACTCTCTGTTCCTGACAGCAATTGTAATATATAGTAAAATGTAATATATAATCATCTTTAAGAGATTCAGTTTACATTTTTGTGCAATTTCATCCCATAACTCATTACTTATATCCTATGATCCACATTCTCCAGTTTTCATTTAGACAACTATATGTTTGTAGTGGCTCTAAATCAGCCCTACACAGGAAAGACTTTTAGTGCTTGCAGAACTGCTGTCAATGCCACTGAAGTGAATGAGACTTTTACACTGATTTTAATATAGCCAGATTTTACCCAAAGGGTATAGAATTGGTTCTTATTACAGTGGACTAAGAAATGGAAGACTTTTTGTTTGTTGGTTTGCTTGTCATCGAGAATATTAAGGGGTTTCAAAGCTAAAAAAAGAAATTGCATTGGTATATCTAAATACTTACTGGCTTAAATGCATTACACTGAAAGTGCATTTAAAGCAATGTGTATTCTCAGCATTTAGATCACAGTGGAGATATTTTGACATTTATATATATAAAAACCCAATTAATTTAGAAATGTCCAAGATGCATTTAAACCAGGGGTATCCAAAATACGGTCCTCAGGACAGATCCAACCTGCAGAGCTGTATCATCTGGCCCCTGGTGCTGCCCCAGGTTTTCAGAGTAACTCACAGGCAGTATGCGGGGTGCACCGGATGGCCCCACAGGCTGCACACAGCATTCACTCTTCCTCACATCACAGAGCAGCTGCTGCATGCAGCACAGCCCTGAAGCACCCATGCAGCATGTGGTATGGGCTCCAGGGCCTCACAACTGAATGCAGTAGCTTTCTAGTACCACTCAAACACAAGCACACATAGCATGTACTCAGGATCTGGAATGCAGGGCTGGTCTGTGGGTCCAATTTAACCCAAGGACTGGTCCCATGCTACTCATCCAGCCTTGCAGATGACACCTCTGGTTTAAACAATTGTTGAAAATATGCAGTATCTACTATATTTTGTGATGACACTATTCAACTTAATAGGGGTAGTTTTCACCACAAAGTCATGAATACAAGTCTATAAAGGATCATAGGAAGGATTGGGATAAAGCAAATTGATGTTAGTACAATTAAGCAGATGTCATATTAAAATACCAGTATACATTTCTGAAGAACATATTTTAGTGTCAACATGCAAGGCAACAATGTCAATAAAACTTGTGCTAATAATATTTTTAACAGCAGCAAAAACCGAATACCCACTTACATTAAAAATGGCTTAGTCTGTATTTTATAAACTCCAAAGCAAGGATATTTGGTTCCAAGTGTTCACTTGTCCTCTTTATTTATACATGCAGATATATTTGCTTCCACAAGGATAAACCCACAATCAAATTCAAAACAGCTTATTTTTGCACATGTAAGCATGCACCAGCAAATCCTGTGGGAATAAAAACGCCCAGAGAAAATTAGGCCGTGTAAAATAGACTTTCCTTAAAGTTCTAAAAAGAGCCCTGCAATGTCAAGGCATTGAATCGCATAACTTTACATGGTTATTTATTGGAGGAAATCACAACTACACGTATTTAAAATGTTACTAAAATGAGTTCTTTTACATGTACAGCCAGTTACATATGTATATAACTACCTGTTTAAGTTGTGTCATGCTGTATTAAGAAGCAGTAGCCTTTCCATAGTTAAATCTAAGGCCGGCTTCCAATCTGAAGCAGACAATCCTGTTTCCCAGAGGAAACAAGCTCCCCCTGCAACAGAGCATGTCACATCTCCATGTAGGATGTTCCTAGAAAGTTTAGGGAAAAAATCAGATTAATTGTGACATTATGAAATATAAAAATATCCGTTGATAATTTTTTTTTAATTCCTCTTACCTTTTTCTTTTGGCTCAGTCTACCTGCAAATGGCTTGTTTTTCAAGTTCATGGTTATCTTATTTTCTTTGTGCTGCTAAGGAGTGGGAAGAGAAACTCCATACATCTAAGAGGGCTGTCCAACTGATGGCCTACGGACCACATGCAGCCCACAAGCAATTAATTTGCAGCTTCTGGGCTCCTTCCTACCAAGCTGCTGCTCTTCCCATTCCTCCAGCTGCTGCAGCAGCCAAAGTCTCCAGGCTCCCTTTTCCTCCTCTAGCTTCCACTTCCTGCCCTTGCTCCAGGGGGTGGGACAGGGCAGTGCAGCCCACCATGCCAGGAGAGCCTGCAGCTGGCTGAGGAGCTGAGGTTGAGTCCAGGGCACCCACACACATGGGAGCTGGGCAGCAAGCAGCCTGCAGGATATCTGGTCCTTAGAAGCTGGACTGCTCTGATTTATAACATACAAAAATAAAAGCTTTTGATAAGCCACATAAAACCTGCAACATGAAAAGAAAAGAAGCAGTCACCTAGAGTCTTTACACAGCAATGATATTAAAAGAAGTCAGCTTAAGTTACCTTCAGGGAATCAGGAAGTTTTCCCCTCTTGCTGAGATCAGCTTAGCCCTGGGAGGAAACAGGGTCTGGAAGATCCTGAACAAGTAGGGGGTGAGGAAATGCTCATCTTGTTCATACAATGTGCTTTGTAAGTTCAGGAGTATTTATTATTCTCCCTGGATTTTGCAAGCCATCTTTTTTTATGGAGCAGGCTGAAGAAACTCTCAGTGCTCCTATCTTAAACTAGGGCACCTAGAGGCATAATTGGGCAGTTTTGCCCTCTCGGCAGGGGCAGTGCAGCGGCCAGGAGCACTGCAGCGGCAGCAGCTGCTATTTTGCAACCCCCTAAGTCAGCACCAAGGCTAGTGAACCAGTCCCCTGCTTTAATTATGCTACTAAGAGCAGTCTAGCACCGCACAGGGGTGCAGCATGTACCTTAAACGGCAAGATGGAGTCATTTCTTGCTTCTTCCCTTTGTTTCTCCCTCTTTCAAACTAGCCTGAGCTATGGGATGGGTTGTATTCACATATATATTTGAAAAGCACCTTGCCAGACTTCCCTTTTCCAGTCACACATAGCCATATCCCCTTTTGGCCTATCATCAAATGCTGATTTTTTTTCAAAAGCTTTGATCCTGCTGTAATGGAATAAAATTATGTGTTTAGATTAATTTCAGTGTTAGTGTTTTTGAACTAATTGATGCGATGAAGGGTGGCAGACAGCAGGATTGGACCCTAAATTGGTTTGAAGCGGTGGCAGTATCCCGCCCTAGGCAACTGGCCAAAAGCAATTCCAAAGCTGAAGACACAGGGGGCAGTGATCAGCGTGCTGTGCCCAGCAGTAGAATGGTATTTGAAGGTAATACATATGGTAATTGTGACAAAGAAAACATTCTGAACAGATATAGAGAACAGAGAGCAGAGGAAGGAAAGAAATAGGCTATATATAAAAATCCCACTAATAGTTTCCTTCTAGTTTCCTTCCTTCTAATAGTGGCCTTGAAAGTAAAA